ACTCTTTGTGATACAAGTTGTCGAATACCTAAATGGATATCAGTGCATTTATGAGAGGATTGCTAGAGAAGGCAAAAACGACAATTGATAATATAATACGAGTACGATAAAAGTATTTAAGCGTACCATACATGGCCTTATCTATTTTTATTTCATTTTTTTTGGTTATGTGATATTGATAAAGATTACAAACGAGAGATATTGCGTAGAATGTTACTATAGTTCAAAAATTGCGTTAAAAAATTGGGGCATATTGCGGGAGTAATTTCATAAATATATAACGAATGATAAGTCATATCATTATACACGTAATGAAACACCACAATTTGGATTATAAATGACGGACGTACAATTTTATCACTTTGATTAAAAATAGAATTTTGTTCATTCTTTTAATTCCGTTATTATAATTTACAATCTTAAGCTTTTCACGTTCATATTATATTAATAATTATAATCAAAACTGATAATTTCTATTGTCCTTTTGGATATTTTGACAAGATCTTCATGTCTCCACAGACTCCAGATAACTCGAACATCTTGAAATAAAAATACTTTTGAAATCATGCATAACATTACTAGGTATTTTAAAATTTTCAAGTGCTTTATGAAGCCAATCATAAAATGCCGTATCATCCTTGTATTTGATAAAAATAAAGTTCAATTTCCGATCGAGGTTCACTTAGCTTCTACCTTAACTTCAACTAACAATCTCAATTTAATGAAAAGAACCGTAGTAATCCATTCCCTATAAAAGTGAAAAGTTAGTACTTATAATTATTGGATGGAAATAATTGTAGTGTGAGCGTCTAAGGTTTTAATGCCTCTACGAAATTGAAAATTGACCTCGGTCGCCAAAAAATGGCTTTTTAGGTTTTCCTTTGCTGACCGGTTGTTGTAAGTGATAAACTTTGGTAATTTTATAATTATAATTTGCGAGTATGCTTTCATTGTAAAACATTTTTGTACCGCTATAGCTTCGTTTTAATTATAGTTAATTCGATAATCAACTACAAATAGTAAAAGGCGTTATTTTACTCCAACAGCTAATTGTGTAAAGTTTTATTAGAGTGTTAGAAGTAATAATTGGAAATGAAAACAATTTCGTATGTGAATTTTACAGAAAATGATGCCATCATAACAATTATATTAGATTCTGCATTTTAAATCAATTAGAAGTGTCTCTGTACAAAATTTACCATCTGCTAAATTCATAAAACGATAGAAATATGATAGTGACAACGATAACAGTGACTGATGACGATAATTAATAATTGAATAGTTAAATCTAACAAACATTATTACAGCCATTTATTCATTAATGGTATATTCTTGACTAAAGCGGGCTATAATTATAATACTTATTCTACTTTTATAATTTACCACGTCTACAAATCATGTATTTCATTTAACTCTTTTATTATGAATGTAGTATTAATTACATCAACAACATTTTTAGACAATAAAAGAAAAAAGTTACAGTTAATAATACAATATATCATTTATCATTGATTCTAGAACCCATCTTTTTCACAGACTACTTTTACATTTAATTAAAATTTTTATATTATACAATATATAATACGCTAAAAATATCAAAAATAATAATCCTGAGAACTGAACAATTGAATAATATCATGATTCATATTGCAAAATAATGATCTGTTACTATGCTATCATTCTATGCTACAATATCACCATCCGATTTGCAGTTATTATTATAGCTTTTTATCGTTCATATCTGAATTATGTCATAAAAATAAAATTCCGGTTTTTCTCTCTTTGTTATGAAGAAGTTAAAAATTAAGAACAAAATTAGGAGTATAAAAATAAACACCTAGTATTTTCATAAATGTAGTTTGGTAACAGAAATTATTACAATTATGCCACTTAATAATAAATGTGATGATATCCGTCTTCAGATCAATACAAAAGTTGTTTTTCCATATTGCCATGATCGCACAACTTTCATCGTTGTTTACATGCTCTTCTTTTTAACCAACTTTTCTCTTCAAAGCACGATTGAGTTATGACGTCTAGTCTGTAGATGCTATTATATCATAAACTATAGCATTGTTCTATTTAGAAATTCTGTTAAGGGAAGATAATCTAACCTAATACATATTATGCTTATTATGAAAGAATTTATAAGCAATATGTTGTTATAATAATTATCTCTACTCATTAAGAATTTCTTTGTGTTATACAATGACTGTTATGCTATATTATATACACGCTAAATAGTCTTTCTGATAATATAAATGTGTGTAGTATCATCACATCAGATAATATATTACTGGTAGTAGATAAAATCTCCTTCCTATCTTTAATATTAAATGAACATATGTAATTGAGCAGATCATATTTATATTTACAACTATAATAAGTTCCTCCTATTTTATAAGAATTATCGGTAAGTTGTAGTTTTCGATAGCATTTGGCGTTATAAATCGATCGCATTCTTCACCTTCTTTACGAAAATACTAGTATATCTTGATCTTATAGTAGCAGATGATACTCTACTCTACCAAGCAGCATCAATATTGAATATATATGTCCAAGCAAAAGCCATATATCCACATTTATAGCTTCTAATTTTCGTAAGGTTTCAAGGAGTATAGACGCTCCTTTTGTACGATATGATATGCTGTTCATTCGTTAAGGAAGTATTAGCGTATTCTGAGTTATACGTATACTTTGTAATAACGTATATATTGCCCTTTCGCATCTTCAAAGTTAAATGTATATATACACTTGAGTAAAGTGTTTCCTTCGTGTCTATTATGAAGAGTACTAATAGTCAGGATTACTTTGACTGCACAAATGATTTCAACATTTTCATATTACTTCGCTACTTTTCTCGATATATTTTATGCTCTTATCATAAATCAAATTCTTAATGCCAGTGTACTGCTTACTGAGTTAGTAGAGGATTTTCAACTTAAATTCATGTTAAAAATCAGGCAGATACCTTGAAAATGTCAAAATAACCTAGATTCTGGGCACCTTTTCAATTAAAACTTTTATTTGCTAACTTTAGAAGGATCATTCTGTCTGGAATAATTATAGTTTAGTAATATTGTGGGTAGTACAATAGAAGTTGTTGCTATTTCTTGGTATCAATGGAATAATTTAACCTACAATTATCGCCCATTGTAGTTGAGGTAATAAGAAACAGTTACCAGTATAGAAATATGTAAGAACTTACGGTAATGCATTTACTAGTTGAAACGTTTGTCTCCAGTATCATGTTAAAGTGGAAAATGCAGGATTTTACTTTGAATATCGAGATGTAATGTTAAAGTTACTTAAAGGCAAATGTAAATTGTGTTTAGTTCTTTCGTAATGCACATAGTATTGTGCTGTTAAATGCCTATTTCTATATCTTTGCATAAAACTATTGGACATCGTGCCGAGTATGAACGGCAAGCAAAGCGACCGCCCTCTACTAAATGGTAAAACTACTGCATACGGAGGAGCCAAATCACTATTGCTTTATAGATACTTGAGAGCCTGCACTTCTGTCTGATTGAATGTTGCTAATAGCCGAAATCGTTTATTTCTGTGAATACTGATTATAATGATTTCAGCTATTTATAGTAGCTATGTGTACATGATTTACTAACAAATGGTTATTTTCATTATTCTGGCAGCAACTCCTTTAATAACTGAGTAGTTAAGAATCAAACACAATCGTTGTCGAACTCGTTAGTAATATTAGTATCTGCTGTATAGGAAAATCGAATTTCTCAGTGATTTATTTCACTATCTAACAGAAACAAATGATTTAATAAGCTGACTAGGATAAATTTATAGTCATACGTAAATTTATAGAGGCAGATTGTTTTTAAAATATATAATCTGAGTTCAAAATTTGCCCGAATTGCATGAATCTTACACGTGGTATATGGTATTATTCCTGTGATGATTACAATTCATTATTGTCGAGGACTACATAATCTATCATGAAGTTAATAGTGGATTTAACTAGGATCTCTAGAAGTGTTAACGTTAGTATCCATAGGCGATCCATGGTTTTTGTGATATATTTTTGATTTAAGTTAACGGATTCATTATTTAACGATAATGAATTTGCATTCAGATACACGATTAAAATCGCAACTTTAGTTTCTAAAAATAAAACCCAGGTTCAATGTAGTTCCTATTTAGCAATGATGTGTTGTGTAGCCAATTAATCTTTTACAAGTACCCAATAGATTAACTTTTTTATATTGCGTAAACCGCATTAAATATTTTATGACAGTCATCACAGTGTACAATACCGAAAAGGCTGTTCATCAGTTGAAATATTGGTTGTGTAGCTGGTAATGTTAGTACTGTATCCTTCCGCAATTTTTGGTTCTCAGCAAAACATCTCTTACTTCAATATAGTGCTTTAATCCAGTTAAAGTACACTAGGCACAGAAGCTGCAACTGAAATCTACATAACATTAAAATGGTCAGCCAATGGCCATTCACTGCTTACATTCACTCCCATTAGTAATATCCTTGCTAGCATAGTACAGTAGCAGAGACTAGCACCTTGTAGCTGACGGCTTACTAACAAAAACTCATTGTAAAAGATGAAATTTATCCTGTAAAAATAGAGACTAGCGTCTTGTAGATATCGCTTAAACAAATGAAAATATTCGATACTGTTACGATCAAAGTCAATTTCTTAATATTAATAATTTAAATATTATACTACAACAATATTTGAATATTTATACAGTTTCAGTGTCAGTCGGAAAGTGACGGTTACAAGTATTTTTTAATTTTTTCATGGGTAGAGTATTGAGGTATAAGGTTCAGGGACTCCCTACGGCGACTATAGCGTCGATGCTAACATTGGTTCGCAAGAAAAAATAAATTAATTTTAAATCCTCCCATGAATTTAAAGAAGGTACAACTTACTTATAACAGTCATAGTTGCAGGTTAAAATACACGCTATCTTTGATCATCACGTTTCTATCTTGAAAAAAGGAAAGCAAGTGAAAAAATGTCGGAGAAAGGCAAACAAAATATATTGCATCGGTTGTTAGACCGATATTTCTATCTTCTTCAACACTATCCATTGGCAACTAAGTCAATTACAAGGTAAATTGGATATCCTTCGTAATCGCTTAAGAAATAATCTACTTAAAATGTTTTTCTGAACATTATTTGTTCGGTTTTATCAACTTGAAGAGGACCTTGTTACTTTACTGCAATCATTCTTTTAATTCGATTTCTCAATAAGTTTGCTGGTCATCATTGTAAAATAGGGAAAACTCTTTAGTGATTTAGTAGATTTTTTATTAAACCCTTTAAAGAAGGTCTTTTTCTATATATATCTTAACTAAGTCAAACTCGTGTTATGAGCATATTTAATATCATGCTCGATTGGATGATCTCATTAGTACAATCTATTTGCTGATATCAGCGTGGCTCCAAAATCTGTCATAATACAGAATATAAAAGACTTTGGTTTTGATATACTAAGTCATTCGGTTCTGAGTTCCGACATTTTTTATACTTCAATGTCTCTTACCAGAGGTAATATAAAATTTAAGTTAGCCTTTCCATGTCCCGAAGTCATCTCATTCTGACTTCTTTAACTAATATCGACGCTAGCTCTTTCCCTAGCAACTGATTTCGTCGGATTAGCGTTAACATGTATTTAATAGGAGTACTTATACTACTTGTTGATGAAAATTGGACAATTATAATTATATGCAACGGAAGATTACCTTGTGTTGTCCACATTATTATTTGATATTTACCCTTGTTCAATTTATACTTAACTGCCACATCTTTTAAAGTAGAGTAACAACTGCTCTGACTTCAATATCTTCATTTATTTGGAATTCATATCTAAATCCGTTACATTATATAGATACATTTAAAAATTAGAAACGATCGGGTAGCTTTTTAGGTGGTATATCTGGTCTATTTAAATAAGATAACTATACCGTACTAGTAGACTACACGTTCATATGAATAGAAATTAAACTTCAAACTAAATGCATGCTTAACGTTTAAGATTTGATCCTGCAATTTCACTGAAAATATTGCTGATATAATGCAAGATGTTTAGTTGTGATATATTCGTATGAATAAGAATTTGAATAAAGATTTATAGTTAGCGATTTTAATCACTGAATTAGGGATACATCTGATGTAAACGATATCGCATTGTCGCCAGTGCAATTATGTCTAGTACGGTATCTAGAATGCTCCAAGTAATAAATTAAATGAAAATTTTATACTAGATAATTTATAGCTTTTGTGATTGGAATTTCTTTCAATATTCATTAAAGAACTTAACTAGCTAAACGTTCAACAAAGTCGTGAACATTTTACTTTAATACTACCGTATATAATGTAATACCAGTTATCGTACATAATGGACGGCACACATGAAAATATTCTAAGGATTTATGAACAGCAGCATAACAGAAACAACTATTGGATGCTTTATTTTAGCAAATTAGATTATGTTAAATTATTTAAATACCTTAATATCGTAACCTTGAACGTTAAAAAAAAATAAGTTAACTAAGTTGTTTCCTAGCTATGATTCTCCCTATCACGGGGTATAAGTGTTTTTTATAACACAGATTGATGTTTATTCTTGTTTTGTAGTGCGATTCTTGCTGGCTTAGGTGATTTTATATCACAAAAACTAGCTCAAGGTGGTCAAGGAACCATAGTATGGAGAAACGTTGGAGCTTACGCCTTTTTTAAGTAAGACTCGCAGACTCAAATGCAATGCTTGGCACTACTATAAATTGTTTTTCCCTGATTGGCAGGCGTAGCTAGTGTAGTGGTGGCTAAATACTGAAATTCTGATAAATAAGTAGTTCATTTTCAGCGCTTTCATTAAAATAGTGACTAGAATTTTTACAGGATCAGTGACTTTCCAGTCACGTCTAACGCTACTCAATAAGCTACTGTATAGCATTCCATTACCTATTTTAAAGCTTCTTTAATATTAGCTTCCAGTAAAATTTTATCTTTAATATTAGTTATTTAGAAAATTTAAGAACTTAAAGATATGAGTACCAGAATCCTGATTTGTTGAGGACGTGCTAAACTTAGTGTCCTAATTTATCTATTAGTGCGCATTTATTAGACTTTCAATTCTAATATCTAGTATTCACTATGTTCAATTTTAGCTTAATCGTGACCGGACCGCTCTCGCATTTCTACTATCAGTGGCTGGAGAAACTAGTTCCATCGAAAGTCCCATTTGCTCCTGCTGTGCGAGTCCTAGTGGATCGTTTGATATTTGCACCACCGTTCCTCTTCTTAGTCTTCTACTTGGTAGCACTCTTTCAGGTTTGCTAATTTGAAATCATGCTACTTCAGATATAATCGCGTTATCGAAGTTAAAGAATAAGTCATCAATTTTGTCACATATCAATCTTAGAATCTTCTAATATTGCCATTGCAGTCGTTATTATCTTACAGTTTACTAGTTTTTCTAAATGAGAAATGTCTATAATTAAACGCGACATAATATTTTAAAGTTATTAATTACTACTAGCTTTATAGTCTTCGATTGTTCTTATGTAATAGGGCACATTTCATATGTGGGATTTAATATCGTGCACCTTTAATACAACTAATTGATACAATAACTGCATTTAGGGACATTCATCTGAAGTGGCCATGGATAGGATTCGTAAATCCTATTGGATAGCTTTAAAAATGAATTGGCGTGTATGGACTGTATTCCAATACATTATCGTCAATTACGTTCCAACACATGTATGCCAATTTATGTACCTTGTACCGTAGATTTATCCTAATACGTTATACTTGACTAGGTTATAAAATCTAGCTTTATTTCGAACACTAGTATATGGTACTTTATTACACTTAATTTTAGTGCAAAATAAACCTGCTGTAAATATATTTTTCGGAATAGCTTTTAGTAATCGTAGAACTAGTGATTCTCATAATTCTTTGCAAGTAATAGATTAAAACTTTCTGGCATTTTTCTTTTTTTTTAGTACCGTGTCTTATGCGGCAACCTTGTTGGATTGGGCTGGAACATTTACTTATCATCTAAGCAAACCTCCTAAATCGGCACTGATATCGTGATAATAATTAATCATTATGGTGTTCTATGATTATTATCAGTAGTTAGCGTAAAAATAAACTGTTATAGGATAGCCAACTGACATAATAATGCAAGCAAATAGCTTTTGTGCTTCCCATAATCCTATAATTTCTGTCATTTATATTGTTCATATTAGCAGTTCAATATTTTTCTATCTTTGCATTGATAACAGACCGCGATCATATTTTACTAGACCGAAGACGCCAGAATAGCTTCAGAAACAATAAATCGTTCAGATAATTTTTGATGATAAATCTGGATTTTGAAGGGTATTGACGTTACAATTTGCATAAGAGTTCAATATCGAAATTGATATAATAGAATATAGACTCATTTGGTAGCAAATCGAGTGAAATGATATTAATGCATACAGAAGTTTCACCTTCATTGCCAGGTATTAATTTGTAATAGCATTAAATCATTGACCAATGAAAAGATCTGCTACTGCAGGCGTATCTTAGTGCATTATTTTTGAGTTTTTCGATCAGACGGTGAATTTACTGATCAGCCGTATAGCAGTATCATATGCTTAGTTGACAATACAATAGGCATCTGGTAATATGAAATCACGATGATTCTACTGTTAGTTGAGATCTGCGAATTAAACTTTAAATTGTAGCGAATAATGCTGCAAGGTGTCTAAAATTGATGCTACAGTGCTGGTGTTGATGAATGTATTTGATCGTAGTATTGCGCAATAATTAACAATCTGAAGTAAGATATGCACGTATATTAGTGAAAAATGTTTGCGATATACTATAATTCGTTTTTTGAGATGGTACGAGTGGTTAATACTTAACTTTAATCTAAAAAGATCTCTTTCGTAAACTGATATTTCTGACTAATGAACGTCGCAGGAATATTTGCGTGCTGATTTATCTGTATATGTAAAGCAGACCCGTTAGGGTAAGAGGTATTTCCTGTTAGGAGTATTAATAGCCATATATTTTGAATACTATCAAATTTACAAAATCGCATGATAAAACATAACCATAATAAAATTTCAGAGACAGTAATCATAACTAGGTCCCAGTATCGTCTCACGGAATACAATCTACTGTAGTATCAATGTTTTATTAATAAATTAGCAAATAGCATACATTTTTTATCATAGTTAGATAGATATTTAAAGGTTGGCCAAGGTATCAATGAAGATTTCTAATAAACTATAGGTAAATACGCAATACAGAATTGCCGTACCGTATCCAAGCTGATAATTCAATTCCGGTAATATGAAATTTTTCCAATAGTGTATTTGTATTACGTCCATCAAATACGTAGAGCATTTTTTATAGGTTAGATTGTAAGATTATGTACTGCAAGTATCTATTTGTGAATGGTATCTAAAGTGCGCAGTTTGTGGGGTTTGGCTATAATGTTTTATTGTTACTGCAGAGATACAGATACATATATTCTTTGTTTTTAAGAACTGATTTTATACGACATCATAAAGTGAAATTAACTAGAAATCGCAGCCTTGCCACTGTATTTGACACACTTTATCAGTGTTCTGACAAATTCATAATTTTGAAGAAATGGCGAAACAGGCATTACATCGTAAATATATGTCGGATAGAAATCAAAACATTAATAAGCTTGCAACTTTAAGTCATTTTAATACTTAAGCAGTCGTTATTCTTGTAATTACGTATACTAAACCCGATTATTTCTACCAGTGATCCCTAAATATGGCTGCATCTACATGTCTCTATGTTTGGTTACTAAAAGTAGGTAAAGATTACTTAGAATCGACTAATGAAATACACTCGCGAAAATTTAGAAAAATATCCTGCTATATTTTCGTCCTTTGAAATATATATCAATAGCTTTCTATGAATTTATAAATCAAATATAATAAATGTCTTCTTATACTGTAATAGGAGGGCATCTGATGTAGCATCCTGAATATATATTAGTACCAAAAGTGGACCGTAGTAAATAAGATTGGTAACATCTTCAAGTCAACCAAAACGTAATATTGTAATTTTTAGTAGCCCTATGGTGAATATGCATAGCTTTGATAAAAATACAATATAGAATGGCTTCACTGGACGCACATCTATCCGAGTTCCAGTAATTATAGCATTAAAATATCATTTAAGTGATACAGTCTGCTTCATAAATCATATTGTATAGAACATCTAAGTAAGATATTTCAAAAAATTGCAAAAAAATTGATTTCGTTTCTTCAGCTATTTCTATAAAAATAGAACTTAATTCTAATAACTATCTTTGCGATCCTATTTGGTAAGGATTTCGAAATGATTTTTCCCTCAGCATCTTCTTTGCATGAAACTACAAATGCAAATAAAGCGATCAATCTTCTCTGTTATACGTAATTATTAAATATTAAAGATATATTAAAGAGGTACCAAAGTGCTTAGATGCGGCAGTGTCCCAACACTACGAGTAATATCTTCATCGGTAACAACAATCTTAGTACAATTATCTTCCGTCGTCGGCATTAGATCAGTGTTCCCACACGTAACCCAAGGATGTTCCTAGAGAATAAAGCAAACAATTAACATTGTTTGCTTTGGAATACGTAGCACGAGTACTTTCCGAAGTCATAGATGGAATATGGTGATTTTACCTTAATTTTAGAAATCGTGATACGTTCACTCGGATTTTTTACCAGTAATCGATATAATAAATCTTCCAATTGTGGATCGATATAAGGACTATATTGCATTGCAAACTGTATTAATTAAGGTACTACACTTACGAAGGCTACAACATTATGACATTTCCATTAATTTATGATAACTAAACTTTCTATACTTACTCATCTGGAATTCGTAGTCTATTATAGAAACAAGTAAAAATATAAAAGCAAAGAATTACCATACAGGTGGGACATCATTAATTCTAATTTAGTTAAGATAACTTGCAGTGAAAACTATTCTATAAAATCGATAGATGATAGCGAAAATAAAATCGTACGGTTCAGTGCTGATCTTCTTAAATAACTGCATGATATGCACATCCTGGAAAGGGCACTAGAGATAGAACCAAGAATTAGGTTATTTTTATTGATATCTGAAATAATAAAGTTCTTAAGTCAGAGTAAAAGTATTGAATTCTTACGCGTCCATAAATAAAACAAAATAACGTTATTCCCATTGCCCAAATATCAAGCGCCTTTCCACGTTGGCTCTTAGCTTTTTCGGCTATAAATAACAAGATTGCTAGATTTACCAACTCTGGCGAAAATCGATCAATAAATGTGTACAACCTCCAATACATCAACTCACGGGCAATAGCTTCAGGAGCCATAAAATAATGAGTGCCAGCTGATTTAGTAACAAAAGCATCCGAACCCTCAAATAGTTCCGAAACGCCAAAATCGGCAATCTGCTTGATACGGTATAAGTAGATTGTAATGGGTAGAGAATTAATGTTCAACTATTAAGTTATAATTATTGTGCGGAAAGTAGTAGCAAAACCTTGATTCCGTTGTCTTCCGTCAGTAGTAAATTTGCAGGTTTGATATCACGGTGAATAACGCCTTGAAAGTGAACTTTAATAAAATAATGAATACTTTTTTCCGTAAGCTAATGATTCACGGTTGTATTGCATTTACTGAACATTAATTACAGTACTAAGAAGACATTTAAATGTCGATCAACTAAAGAGACTATATTTCACAAGATGTTGTACAGTACTATTATATAAGTGTTTCTTCTATATCTAAACTTACGAAATTCAATCCCTAGTACAATATCTCTGAAGTATCGTCTGGAAAGTTCTTCAGAAAATGTGTTGTCAGTCGGAATTTCCGGCATCACGGCTCTGAGTAAAATATTACAATTTAGCTGCCCAACAATTGATTTCTCGTACCAAATTAATTAAATATTCTCCATTTTGTGTTATACGATCACTTCTTACCCTTTGCTTAATAATTCATAAACTACAAGCCACGGAATAAATGCAAATTTGAATCATAAAAAGAGTTATTGGTACAGTTATATCCGTTTACTCAGAATGTAGTGGATTAGTGGATTAGTAAAAAGGAAAGTTTATGAATTATTTTAAACACAAAATTACCCATATAAAAGTAATCGTTGTTGGTATCATTGAGAACCTATGATGAAAGAATTTAATTGCTCAGAAATTTTCTACGAGATTATGACATGATAAATCGCTATTACTAGTTAAGACGATAATTCTAAGGTCGTACCTCAATAAGTTGTACAATATTCTTATGATTAAGTTTCTTCATAATTGCAATTTCGCGGTATATGCTTTCGAAAGGGTCTACAACCTTACCAAGTTTTCGCATTTCAACTCGTCGGCCTATATTTATTAAAGGAGTGGATTTAGTTTTAGAATTAAAATTTGCAAAGAAGTTTTTCGTCAAGATATGTGTAAACAAACAATGTGATAGATATTTCTTATACCGGTTAGTGCAGCTCTCTTTTTCATTTTCACTTTGGAAATAATTTTGATAGCCTTTATAATGGAAATCAAGAAATTATAAGATTCTTTTACTTATTTCACGATCTCAAGATACTTAGTCTATTAATATTTTTAGAATGCGTGTAATATACTAACATAATCTACATGATCATCCTCATTACTTGCCACTTTGACTAATCCGTAAGATCCCTGAGTGATTAAAAATGAATAGTAGTTATAATATAACGATCGCTAACGTTATACTGTGCATATACCGCTTTCGTTTACCCTTCCAAGCTCTTCTCCAATTTTATATTGATTGATTTGTGTACCATCCTAGTAGCATATAGTAAGAATTACAACTACTTAGAATTACGTAGTAGGTAAATATAGATGCAAATTCCAACAGTGTCGCGTAGAATCAGTTATAATGCCAATACATACAGGTAGCTCTTCAACATGAACAGTGTCGGTTTCAACTAAAGGTTTGCGACGTATTCGCCCAGGTGACGCAGGAGGAGTAGGAGATATATTATGGTATCGAGACAATTGCATAGCAACATTTGGTAGAAGCTGATCTTTACGAAGGTTTACTCGCATTGGTGAATGGCGAATTCCTCTATTTCTTCCATCATCGGAAATATAACAATCCTGGTAGAATTCATTGCTATCTGATTGAATACCATCCACTTCTATCGATTTACTTGGTGCTAATAATTTCTTTTGTGAAGTTCTGCAGTTGCAAACATACAGTAGGTTAAAATTTAAAGTAAGATTGACTCTTTTGTCTTCCGGTATTGCTTTCAAAGATTATATTACTATTATTATTTAAATCAAGTTTACCTCCAAGGTGGTACACCTACGGGTGCCTTAAATTCTCGGTAGGCGTCTCGAACTATACATTAATCAATTAACAAATACCAGTCAAAAGTTTTGAAGGACGTATGGCAATGGCTCAAAAAGATCAATTAGAAGAGCCAAATAATTGCTTTAGTATAAATTCATTGAAGACAAGCAATCAGTATGATGTCAAGGAAAGTGCAAAATTCATATGTCATCTACAATTAGTAACTTTACGAATTCTGAGCGGATCTTTACTGTAGACTGTTGTATTCAATTTTCTACTAATTAAGAAGCGATATGATCAGATTGTAAGCACTAAGTATAGATGAATGCTATATCAACTCCTCAAATCATGCATACGCATATAGTTGCCGTGTATAGGAACAAAGCGATACGAAGTTAGCAATTAAACATTTTCTTTAACCTTCTTTGCTAGCCTCCGAATGTCTTCGAGCTGTAGTAGAGAATTCAATATCGTCCTTTTCGTTTGGAACGCTAACGGAGGATCTACTGTCATGTAACGTATAAAGGGGAGGCAAAGTTGGTCTGTAAGGAAATTAAAGAACATTTAAAGGATAAAATGTTTTTACTAGTAATGTGCTATAACATCGATGATATTTGACGCAATAAGCAAAATTATATTTACAGTTTCTTAGTGAAACCAAAATTAAACAAATTTATAAACAGAAATTGTATCAAAAGTGAATAGTACATATACCACTAAAATTATGTTAATCAGGAGAAGAGATTGCAGCATATAAAATACCATTACAATGTTAAAACTGTTCACTGAGTAGAGTATCGTGTGCTTTCGTGTATGTCTGTACAACCTGTATTTTAATATCACTAATGTATTTTTGTGAAAATGACGTATGGAGCAAATCTGTAAGTCGTTACAATGTCTTTCTGTTATACAAAGACGTAATAACATCCTTCCTAAAATAGTATATCTAAATTCTTATAAATTCTAAAAGGATTATAGTGTTTATACTGCAGTACAAAGTCAAGTCAAAACTAAGTTAAGAACCAACTTACTTTCTGGAACTGCTAGAATATTTTACTTGCGGTTGATGCTTAGTGTTATCTGAAACAGTAGCATTATAATAATTAATGGGTAATAAACTGGGATAGATCAGATTGAAGAAGTATGGCATGATAACTACTTTACAATAAAATTAGCAAATCAATTATATCAGTATTGTAAAGGCTGTAGTAAACAATAGAGAAATTGTCAAAATAATTATAAAACACATAACTCCAGCTGCTACTTAGTTATTAATGAATTTAATCATCAAATAAATAAAGGGAAAAAAGCTAATGGTATCTCACTCTTGTTTATTTTATTTACTCGGTCTTAAAGATAAAATCAAGTTCTAAATTGAATATTCTGTACTTTTAATAAGTTACAAGCCCTATGAGTGATAACATATTATGATTGATTGTCCTTCGATGATTTTCGTATATATACCGTAAGCTATTTATATTATTGCAAGAACTTAACGCGTATTAATTTTGATAGTAATAAAATAGCAGACAGTACAATGATATTAATTTTTATTTATATTACATATTGATTACAAAGTGAATAGGATCTACTGCATTACGTACTATTGGCAGTTGTTACTGGTCCAGAACATAACCAGATTGGATTTTATTATGCAGTACGAGTTAATCAAGTTAGATGAAACGATACAATCTTCAATATCTTATTAGTTTTCTGTTGAATCGATATACACGTACATAAATCAAGTAACTTACGTTTATCATTGCCTTTCGTGATCGGGTGTGATGTTACCGGTCTACTGGGAGTCGCTTTTCTTTTTTCATCGCTATTGTTTGTCTGCTTGTTACGAGAGAATATTGATTTACCTTTCTCTGTGGATGATTTTTTTTCTTTACTTTTCTCTTCCGCTTGATGCTTTCGTGTATCACCACGTTGCCAATTTTTTGCCTTGATCATTTCGTTTGTTATTCTCGTATGTATGATGTATCTTCTGTAAATTTAAAATCTATGATGAAGCAGTAGCGAAAGGTGTAGGAATTTAACATTAAGTGTTGTTATTAACTTCATTTAGTAATCTTATCATTACTATTCATGTAGAAATGTATGACTATAATTCTGTGTCAAGCTTCTTTGGAAAAGACATACTTAATTACGGCCCGTAATACGTACAGTACTACTGTGCTGGATGGTAAACAATACACAATAGAATAGACCAATAACGTTATATAAATGGGAAAGAATATCTGCGATGATACAATATACATAGTTATGGATATGACCATTAATTCCTAAAATGGTAATGGCAAAAGTAGCAAACAACTAACTATCTACATGCACGCATATATTATTTTATTATCATAAATTTTGTATTTCACATTGCACCTATCAGTTTACATGATTAGGATATTCGTGTGAACGAAACCAGATACTTTCTGTATTTATTTTGAAATAATACATATACATAATTTGAACGTGCATTACAACAACTCGGTATTATTAGCGCTGTTTGTGACAAAAATGAATACACCCATTAAGATTCTTAGAAGTAGTTCGAAATACCAACATTAATATTTAAAGAGGTATCCAGGAGAGTTATCTTTCATCTTAAAAATAGATTTGGACATTTTCTTATCATTTAAAGGTAAGCATATAGAAAAAATAGAAATATGTCTACAGAGAAATACTGATGCAGTATAACTATGCCTAGCATAGTTTAGATTTACTCGTATATCTTGCAAGAAACAAGACTTTTGTCAGAGCTATAATGAAATTTTTCTCCTTGGTGATTTTATTACCAAATAGCATAGGATTATAGATATACTTATTATTACAACACTTTGAGTACGCTGATTAGAACCGTCAATCAGCCTTTATTAAATAGATTAGGTTACTCCCTTCGACATTATCATAATTATACAGTATAATCAAGATTACGTGAAATTTATCATGCACAATTTTCAATATTCAATGTACTGTACATTCAGTATGACTGCGTTCGTCGTATAGAATGTGAAGTAATCCCTTGAGGATGAACCGCTAATAAAGGAGTACACGTGGAATAGTTATTGAGTAATGCTAAGTACCTCATGAGGGCGCAATGAATACAACGTGAATGTCTGTATTCGCCTTAGGTTACTTTCCGATGAAAGCCGAATTAATACAATCAAGTTGTTACCGTAATGGAATAATGGCTAGAAACAATACAGTGCGTGTATAGCCGCATGAGGCCTTTTAACTGTGTATGATGGATAGTATCCATGATAAGATCATCGAATCATCGACAGTATTATAGAGTATGTGGACCGCATAGACATTTTCTTTCATGATTAATCAGTAATCACACTAGTCAAAAGTTAACAGTATACTGGAGTAGGAGGAAAACATATTGTCATCACTTCTATCATGATTTATTAGTAAGCAAGCACACTGAAACTAGTAAAAAGTTAACTCGACAGATGTGAAAAGAATTAATGGAAATTAACTGAAATTTCGAATGGAAACTCCTAACATCATAATTAAATAGTGATTTGGCAAGTGGCGTTGTAAAAAATAAAGACTGTGTTAGTACCAATAACATATCGATTGGAGACAATTGTCATGGTTACTTTAATATGTTGATACATACTGTAGAGTAGTAGAATCAATTGGATGGTAACAAGGATATCAATCGCAGGCGACAAGAAATGTTGATGGGCTGTTGAATGTCAACAAAAACAACAGGGTTATTGTTAAAAGTTGCCAAGTCAACTTTGACATTGGTTCAAGTTCTTATCCCCTTGAAATTATTTTCAACTACGGGAATGTAATTTTATTTTGACTAGTACAAAATAACAAGGGTATGATACTATGATTGAACCAAGATTTTTACTGATACATGTTCTTACGGCATGTTTTTTTCAGGATGTAAAAATAATTTTACTAAATATTTAAGAGTGACAAGATGATCTTTTGGTAATTTCCATTATTGCAGCTACGAATTGATTTTGTGAAAAGATAGCAAATAAAAATACTAATAGCAACGAAATCGTACGAATTTGTGATCTGTACCAAATCTAAAACAGTTATACAAACAAGTACAGTACAGTATTAATGGTTAACCCGGGATCAAGGTAGATAAAAGGAACAACAGAAGATAATGTATGAAAACTAATAATTCCTACTTTAGAGTTTATATTCACGCCTATTCTATGAAACCATAAATCGCAAAAATTATAGTTAGAGACCCTAGGGTCTAATCAGTATCGATTGTACTAATTAATTATTATTACTAGTAAAGTTATATGTACAGTATACAATGAAAGAGTATACGTACACAACCTTGGGTGTCCATCATTAATATGATGAATTGATCGATAGGTAAATATTTCAATATTGACTGTAAGACAAGTAGAGAGTAGATATAGCAGTAATGACGGTATCGACAGCTTCTATAGCGTGTCGGTGCTGTATTAAAATAGCATAACTGCGACTTTCATCCGTGAGTATTTTTTGAATAATTTCAAGTAAGCGATTTCTATTTAAATGTGTATAACACAGTAGTGATGCAGATTAAAAGAGAAAAGCATAGAGGATTCTAAAACCTATGCATAGGTGTTGTTTTCAATAGGAGAATATGTATGGTTATATACAATTACGAACAGTATTGCTGCTTAATTTATTACTCTACTGTCCGAAAAAATATAATTACATGCGTTACTATCATGAATTGCAGAATATTCGAAATCCCTAAATAACAGCGAATTATTTACAGACTGTTTTACATCATCTTATTTTTGTATGTTGTACACACTTAAAACATCGTAGAAAATATCTCATTTAGCATTTGCACTCATTAGAATTGGCTACATGTTCCATACTGAACTCATAGCTATCTCTAATTGTGGATGCCATATTAATACGTGGGCCATAGAAGATATGAATCACTGTAAAGATAAATTTTTAATAGCTAGTGCATATCTGTTACTATGAGCATGATACAATTGTTACTCATATTATAAAAAATTCACTCTCTGCTGTCACGCTCGTTTCATGAAAACAGTGAATAATGTAAATTATGTTCTAGTAGTCACCAGGAAGTTTGAATCTCTAACCCATATATGATGGTCATGTCAATAAAGATCTGCTGTAGTACCAGTATTAATGATAACAGTGATCATTCTAAAATGTGTTGTAGTAGCAGTTTACATCTATAAAATGTTCGATACGTGTATGAAGATTGATTTGAAAGATATTCCACTGTCATGCCTGCTTCATTGACAAGAGTGAATATACGCGTATTATAATATTTTATAGAATCTGTATCAATAACATAATGAATTAATCAGTTGATATCTCTAAAACTTCAACAATATCTGTTTCGACAACCACGGCGAAGTATTGTAATTAAAAGTTCTATAGTATTCTAATAGCCAGTTTAAATCGTAAAGTCTATCAGTATAATACTGATTTAAAGAAGATGGACTGTAGTATGTTTTTGATGACACTCCAACGACAGTAACTGTTGTAAAATATTTCTAATGGCCGGGCGCGTTCAATGGCAACTTTGAGTACAGTAAATTGCATTTAATGGCTGGATTATACCTTGATCTGCGTGTGTGATACTCAAAGGAGATCTGCAATCATGTCTGTTTCAATGGCAACATTGAATATTTAATTACTTGGTATATGAATAGATAACTAGAGTGAATGTTTCCATTACACAGCGATAAACATCCATCGTCAGTAGTAGCATCAATTAATTAATTCTAATTATTGACCAATTCTTGATCTACCATTACAACAACTAGCAAGTAGAAAAGCAAAAACCTTGATGGATAAAACAGTTTTGATGTGGTTGTTGTTATTGTTGTCATGATAGATACTTCTTGAGCAAATCAATGAATCGTATTCAGCAAAAATTCCATTTCAAACGGATGCACAGTTTTGAAATTGTTATTATTATTGCTGTTATGATGATACTTCTCGAGCTAATCAATTATAATTATCAATGTTAATGTACTGTATTTAACAAAAATTATATTTGTTTGACTAATCGGTTCGGTAATATTGATGGATTATATAGTGTAAAAGACTATTAATTATTCAGTGGATACTGTTTGAAATAGCTCTTAGTACTATCTGTTCAACATTAGAAATAATTTCTTTCATTGGTAATACGCGTACAAGTATCATTAATATTAATTAATTATAACCATCAATCCGTTAGCAATTGTATTCCTGTTACTTTTGCTCCTACTTTATTCATCACTCACCGATCGCCAATTGATACAGATAAGCTTATCAAGGTAAAATGGCTGCTAGGTATGAGATTGGCGAAATCAATAATCGGCAACTCTATACGCTAACTTTTGGAGATAGCAGCTAGAAACGAAATAAAGGAAATTTAATAATGCCTTGGGAAAACTGCGACAGCGTAGGAATGGAATGGGTCAGTCACGATTGAGATGGTGTTAGGAGGAATCTTTGAATAGCTACGTTTACTTAGTGCTTTTTATTCATTAATTATTGCTTGTCATCAACTAGCTATTACTATCCAAGATTAAGGATTACATGGCCAGCGATCCAGTTGTTGTTCACTTATAATTATGAACATCAAAATTAAGTAAGATCAGATCAAGTGGAAAATAAAATATAGTAAGGTTCCAACTAGTCTCTGTGAACGTACCTTTAAGGATACTGTGGGGCTCATGCATGCGTTCTAGTCCATGCTGCGCCTAGTGTAAATTTTAGAAGATGGTGCAACATGGACTATGCTGGACACTGTATACAGTACAGTACATTTCGTAGCCCATGGTAATACTGCGACTCCGGCTTACACGTTACAGTGGAGACATTTGAGTTGCACAGTACAGTACACACTGTACTGTACCGTACTGTACTGTACTGTACTGTAGGCACTTGCCACAATACAGTACAGTACAATACACTGTACTCCGATTCTACAGTACTGTACTGTACAGTACCGTACTGTACTGTACTGTACTGTATGCACGCTACAGTACAATGTACCGTAGTATGCCGTAGCTCGCCTTCCATTCTTCTCTCCAAATACGAGCATTCACAAAGACATTTCAAGAGCTTTGCGCTTCGTGCAGAAACATACAGTATGCGCAGATACGTTCAATTTTTACATGGTTGTGTGGAGCAAGTAAGGCAAACTGCTGCACAGTATACTGTATGTACAGTATGTGTACGCGAAAAGTAAATTACAGTAGTGCAGCTACAGTACTGTACAACTGTTGGAGCCTGAAGGAGTGCAAGATTATCTTGCAGTAGTTCATGTTATACGAGTACTGTACATATAAAATGTATATAAACTGCCGCGAGCGCTGAACTAGTCGCGATAATACTGTACTGTACTGTACGCCCACGATTCACTGTCACATGACGAAAGATAACGCAAAGTATCTCTGCTTTTACCTCGTCAACTTAGCAAATCTCTTTACTTCTTAGTTCAATATTAATAGTAATTACCCTTCTAATGCAGGTTTTCTGTACAGGTATTTTAGCTATTCTATTTCGATACATCACGAACAACTAAACTGTTTTATTAACGTACAGCACACGTACAGGACAGTATACTGGCCCTCAGAAATCGATCTACTGTATAACCAATGTACGGTATGTTCGCGACATACTGTACAGTACTCGTAGAATGCGGTACTGTCGGTACAAGTCGGCACAGTGTATGTGTTACGCCCATTCCTAAGAATGATTTTGTCCTTAAAAAGATTAACAGCTATAATCATACAAGCACTTTGTTAGGGAAAAATTAATTAAAATCGAAATACTTATGTGTATATGACAAGTCTCGAGTTTGCACTTTCTTTTCTATTGCAAAGACCGAGCTAATAAAAAAATTAGTGTGATTAAGCACGTAAACATACCGAAAATATTGCAATATCTTATAGCAAGTTTGATGGTAAGCCGAAGGTATTACAGTAAGAGTATAATGGATGTACTTTACCTAGCAGGCCGAGCAATAGTTCTTGGCCACACGACATCGTCCGGCTCATCATTTGTTGCAATCTGAATTATTGCACTGTCAAAACTGGTGTGAATATGACTATCAGCAAAAATATCGGATGATATTGAAATGTCGGAATTGTTGGTAATTTATTCGTAAAAATTTTGAGTATGTTAACAGTACCAGTATTTTTCTCGCTGAATTCGAGACAGTCTTGTTACTGCTCAATATGAATTACCATAAACTCGATATGCATGCGTACAAGGCGCCTAGAAGATTTATAATTTAGCCACAAGCAACAATTTTTCTATAAGAAACATTACTTATTCTGTATATTTTTAACACGAATAAAATCCCTAATTTTATTTCATAAGAGTTACAAAATCATAACTCATAGACATTGTTACCTTAAAATAAAATCAATAGGTAGTTCATCAATCATAAGTGGCGCTATCAATTTAACACACTGACTATAACTAAAGAATAAAAGTGATTTAATTGAATAATTTTCGTAAAAGTTTAAATTTAAATCTTTATACTTTGATTCGTAAATAATCATGGTAACGTATAACTAAAATAAGAATCAATGAACGAATTAAACCAATTATTTGATAGAAAGATTTCGTTGATTATTCGATAGATAATTACTTTTAGTACGATTGAAATTTTATATAATACCATATACAGAAATAAAAAAAATAATTACCAAGACCATATAATTTGAAATTATTTCCTCTCGGATTGCTATATCGTAATTATAATATTTCTTTGATCACCGATATCACATTCAAATATTGCACTGTAATGCGACAGATATAGCAAATGTGCAATGAAGTTAATGATATAATATAAATGCAACATTCAGCGGTCGTGCTAAACGTATATTTAGTACGCTACAAATTGCAGTCTTTAATTAACAAACTTCTGAAAATTTGTTTCGATAAAGTATCGAAGGTATATTACCACACATAAATTTTAATAGATATTGTAGGTAAGATAAATGGCTCTATATAGTTATTATCTGCAATATTACTATCGAAAATATAGGTAGAGATGGCCGAGGTGCGGTCAAAAACGCAATAATGAGGGTGCAAAACTTTTATAGTGAAACGCTAGCGGAGAAACAGTTTGGTCACTTCCTAAGTTTATTTGCTCGTTACTTGCTCAACATTCGACTCCAGGAGAACAGATACACACGTTCGTTACAAATAGACTAATTAACTATGCAACATTTTCGCGCAGTATTCATTCAGGATTATCCGTTTCTTTATTAATTATCTCTTTGTCTCCTTCGTCTGGGTTCTCTGAAGCTTCGTTAGCTTCCTCCGCTTCATCCTAATTCCCAATATGAATACCATGTTAGCTAAATAGCACAGCAGATGCAAATGTATTCAGCTTGAACGTATATAACCAGCTTAGACTTACTACTTCCCAGCCTTCGCTCGCACCGGCCAAATGGTAATGATGCTTTCTGATTCTTCCTAGATAACCTCTTTCTTTGGTTACATTAGATTCCAAACGAAGTAAACGCACCTACATTCACATTATTACTTTTAAGTTGTTTTTCTTACATAAATTATTGTTACCAAAAGACTCGCTACTTAGATTCACTCCTGAAATGTTTTCAGGCGCTAATACCTGTGATTCCATCTCCAATCGTTTGGCTTGGGTTAATGATATCTTCGAAAAATCATAGTTTTGATCGTCTGCATTTAAATACAGATCAAGCATGATTTAGTATAGAATAGATAGCTTCCGAATTACAAATTAATAACAAAAGGAGATATACCTTCAGCTAAAACTTTTCTTCCAGCATTGGCTGCTGCTATAACCTCGGTAGTTGACGCAGTGACTATATTGTGAAATTTTAAAGGCATGATATAGTATCACATGTTCTATTATTTGGTAAAAGTAGCAAATTAATATAACCTAGTTTAGATGCACTTTCTAATTGCAGCAAATTCTCACTTCTAGGATTCGATTTAACTCTGGAAGCCGTAACCTATATAATACGAAAGTTAGTAGCTAGCAATGTCTACTTTCACAATACTGTACGTTTTCCACTATTAACTATTTTACTTACCAGCTGCACAGTACTGCTGCTTATTTCACGCGAAGCTACAACAAGTTCCTCTAATCCACAAGTACCTTCCATCATTTCATTGGCTACCTCTCTAAAATGGCATGCACAACCGTAATGTATGGGATATGTGTAATAAACGAAGTTAACAGATTGAGCAATTTCCTATCTTTAAACTATAGAATTATCCAAAGACATACACAAAATTTGAAGCACTTGCTCCAACAGCCTTTGCCGCTGATAATAGTCCTTCAGTCCACCGATTATTACGCTTATAAAAATCTTTTTTACCACTGCTGATTCCCTACAAGTAAAAATAGTATTCGTTTGTTAAGATCCCGAAATTCCAGTACAACTAAAAGTTGGCATTACCTTCTTTATCCTTACTATTTCTTTTTGCAGAATAGAAGCCCGAATAATAAGTAATCTTATCGCCTGTAACAATTTTATTAAAATCGTATCATATGCGTTATATAGGATTTAGTAAACTGCAATAAGAAAATTTAAAGAAATTTTTTAAAGATTACATTCATTAGTTTCGTTGAGGAATCTAAAATCCTGTTTATGAAACAAATAATGACACGAAACGTTTTACATAAAAACATATTTCATTAATTTAATCAAGATTTATTACAAAGCACAGCATTACCTCTCATTCACTTCTAGTTTAGTCCCAGTTTCATTCTCACGTGCGCGTCTTAGTAAAGCCTCAATTTTGGCCGTTGCAACATCAATTGCCTTATAGGAAAAGGATAAGTATGAGATAAAGCATGTAATCCTACAACTATATTCGGTTATTTGATTTTCGCAGCAATACATACCAAAGGCTGTAGCTAAAATTTTTACCTCCGTTGTATACGCCATTTCTTCTCCAACAATATCACCTTTTTCAACGGCGTTCGCAGATTCGCATTGTTTCTAAATTAAATAACTTAAAATTACGTATCTAAAAATTAGGAGAAAATATTCTTAAAAGCTTTGTCACCTTTACTAAATCTATTATGGCGTCTAGGGTATGTTTTATATCTTCAGATACCGCTTCTAGCATGGATGGATCTAGAGAGAAATAATGTTACGATTACTGTTATGGTCTCGAAGTAACTCGATATAAGATAAAAAATTTATCTATTTTTTTAAAGATTTTATAACGTATTACCATCTTTGATTGTACTTCTTAGGTCTTCTAAAAACTTTCGAACACTGTATCCAGCATTCTCGCACTTTTCAATGATTTCTGAAAAGACTAACGAAAGCAAATTTATTCACGTTTTGTACCAAACTTAACAAAGATTTTATCTGTGAATATTACCATTAGTTTTTTGATTTTCGTCCCCATGGAAGGATATTTTACTTGTATAAATCATCAAGGCGAATACAGAAGTAAAGTGGCGCAAAGAGGTATCTATCGATTCAATATCTATTTGATTTTATGATTTGAATAGTGGGCAAATTTAATAGATAATAAACAAACTAAAATCCTAACATCAATTACTTTAGGTATGCAAACAACTCCCATAATAAAGAAAGCCTAATAATCCTTACCAGAGTTATTTTTAAAATATTCACGCAAGTCAACAGTAAGCATAGTTGCTCTCTGTGAAGAATTTTCCGCTAGAAACAGCATGGAATCTGACCGATTGAAATAGTATACAATAACAAAAGTAGGTAAGAATTTGCTGATCTTACCAATTGTTGCGGAAAGTTCACAAGGTTAAATTTTATGATAATTACCTAGAGATTCATCAACAGGAAGTGCTGAGGGATTTTTTCCATCTAATGATAATGAAATCATTGCAATTGCTTGTTGCAGTGACCAATCTATCAATTATCGGAAGAATATTAGTTTTTGTCAAAAAATACTATTAAGAGCAAAATCGCTAGCGTCGGAAATACTACCTATCATCGAAAATTGAAATTCATTTTTGTCCGAATCACTTGTTGGTACGTTCTCTTCATTGCTACTTTGTAATAATCTTTCATCGACAGCGTCAGTCAGAGCCTGTCAAAAATGATGCCATGTATTATTTTAAAACTAGTTTACAGACTGATTTAGTTAATACATGTAAGGACTTATTCACCGATGCTTTAACTGTAATTGTTTCTGTACTAGCTTTAAGAGCCTCCATTTCCGCATGAACGCTTTCTAATTGTTTTGTTTGATCTTGCAGCTTATTATTTTTTTGTCGTAGTTCCTGTTCATGTTGCTTATTAAGCAAATCTAACTTGACCACTAGCGCACTAAGTTCTTGTGATAGGTTGTCATTGTCAGCAGTCTTCGATTCCAATTCCACTAATATATCCCCATTTTCCAATAGTGCGGCCTTTAGCTGACTTTCTATGTTGCCGTGCTGCGGTAATCAACAATTTAAGATGACATCAAAACAGTGTAGGTAATAGGTACACATAGAAATATTATTGCCACTAAGTGACCAAAATTGATATATTTTGCAAGTTATCAAAGTGACCAATAAATCAACTAAACGAATTACCTTTCTAAGAAGATTAACATGATCGTCTCTGACTTTAAGATACATTTGCTTCATTTTATTGAATTTAGCTATTATTTAAGAAATAATTAAAATAGACACGCTATCGTAAAATATTATGATAAAAGCATGTTAAGTAACTTATAAACGATTTAACCTTCCCATTCCCCTCCTGCTACTTGAGGTGAAGCTATAGCTAAGGTATCAAGATGTGCCTTTAGTTGTACATTTTCCTAACAGGTAAATAATGCAATGAAGTATGAATAAATCTGGAGTACGTTCCTTTCCAAGTACAATGCCTTACTTGACATGACTCTTCTGCAATTGCTCGATATTCCGCCAATTCTTGTTGGATCTAAATTCATGAACATGCGAGTGTAACAAAATAGCAGTTTCAATGATCTAGCATTAACTTAGATAAGTATGTCTGGTGATTTTTTGTAATTAATTGTGATCATCAACGGTCATATAAGGAAAATTTACCGCTTTGATAGTTGTCTTCAATTGCTGAATTTCTTCTTCGTACTACATAAATATATTTCTAAATTTAGTAATCATATTTAAATCTGCAAAGTATTCATATTATTTCTGCCATGTTACCTCAAGGATTTGCTCATGCATTCGGCTCTTCTCGGATTCGAACTTGAAAGATTTGAATACAAAAATTAGTAACTTCTCTACAATAGACAACTGTATGTAAACCAAAACTATGTTTATTAATCCATTAATATAAAAGAAATACCTCAGACTTGCATTTTACTAATTCAATTTGTAGCTCTTCAATTCGTTGGCGTAAATGATTAATCAATTCATCCTTACTATCAGTAATTGATAAAAAGAGAAAGTTATTATTTGTCACGTTAGCGAAGATCGTTGAGATGATCTAACCTGTCGTCGACTCTTGGTGAAGACACATTTTGCATGTCAACAGTTTCAGGGATATCAGCAAAAGAATGCTCAATAGTCGCCTATACAAGTTTTTTAAACCCAATTAGAGATCGCTAAAGTGTATAGTTGCATAACTCAAAGAGACGAAATAATTTACAGCTGGACTGATTGGTGATGAAAGCGAGGCACTGGATCTATCAGTAGCATCAAGATCGCTGATGAGATCTGGAGAAGGGCTAGCATCTGGTGAAGGTAGCGAATCATGCGAAAAATCTGTTCGACTTTCACGATAAGACGTGATTACAACGTTAGAAACATCCCCTTGAACAAATTCTATTTCATTCTATGATTAACGGTAAAAATTAGGCCATTGTAAAGAATTATCACAAAGTAAGATTTAAAATAATCAGTCAAAATTATGTAATAAAAACCTCAGGCAGAGTAGGAATTGGTGTTAAAGTCCTTAGGTATGTCAAAGTATGGGCGTTGTTGTAAAAAGTCCGTAATCTATTCAGAATAAGTATTATTATGAAATGCTTCCGTGGCTTTATTCATATATATAGTTAACGATAATATAAAATTTCCTTACACTGCCAATTGCTTCGAAAATCTTGTTCTATGGCCTGCTAGGAATTCAGGGTCAAGATCTAACAAAAATTATGAAAGGAATGGTTACTATCTTATTTTGTATAAACTTATAAAATAAAATATCTAGTAATTACGATAGTCGTAGGCCATTAATTATATACAACATATACGCTATACGTTATGGAATATAAAGCAAAACTTACATTTATGCAATTCAAACATTGCTTTTACTATGAGTCCATAAATGTTGTATGATTCCTAGAATTAAAATATAGGTCAAAAGAACGTCCAGAATAGCTCACAGCTAGATGAGCATTGTGTAACTAGTGAACTTGATATAATACAAAATTACGTTTAAGAAACAAATTTATCTAGTCCAATCTATTCCTTACGTGGATGATGGTAATAAAACAAAAAACTTTACATTGTCCAGATGGATTCATAGAACCACTTAGTCCAACAGCTTCGTAAACTGTACAAAAATTCGAAAAGTTGCTAAGATATATACTATGGAAACGTAGGGATACATGGATGATACACCGGTATTTACGAATAATAATTGAAATGATAACCATTAATTTTACTTTATCAAATACCATAATATTGAAGACGTAATAGCTGATCCTGCAAATCGAGTAAGTCTACTACCAATTGGTAGCTAAGTAATGAAATGAAAGATTACGGGTTACATACACAAGCGATTAAATAGCAAAATAACTATTAAACAAGATAAAGTGTACATTCACACAACATGAATATATCACTGTCAACCATCGATTTTCTAGCGCCGATGCAAAAATTATATGTGAACTAAATACGATATCAATACCGTACAGGAGAGGAAATTGAGAACTTACGTATCGTTCATATCCTTTGTCGGTAAGTCTATAATAGATCCACTAGATTGGCTGGTAAAATTTGATGGAATAGCTTGATACTATTGGGAGTGAGGTTGGCAATATCAACAGTATGAAAATAAATATCGTAAAGTTCTTTACAGTGTAGTATACAAGATATTGGACCTTTTTGTGAAATTCCAACTTTTCATCCAAGTATTTCAAGTACAAGATAATCAGTTTCGGATAAGATTCAGATCTAGCAGTCTGAAATATAAGACACAAGGGTGATTTCTTGCAAATAAATAACAATCGATCTTTAGCTAGCGAAAACATATTCATTTTCTTACCCACGTAGAGAGAAGACTACTTAAAAGATTCTTATAGTTATAAGATTCGATTATAACCTATTTATGTGATATGAAATGGCTTTTATTATGCTTTAAAACGGATACATTCAAACATTCCACGCTATATGATAGTCAAGTTATAGAAAAGAAAGTAATTACGAAATGCTTACATTTGGATGGCCTTCAATAAATATTTTATGGATGATACACAACCCCTTCCAACAAATTATTTCTTGAGAATGTAAAGGCAATTTATTTAAGGAATTCCAAAAACTCACAGATCCCTTCTTTTTCCACGTTCCAATGATGGTAATTACGATAAGTTAAGGTAGCTAAGACTTATGTCGTAATGAGCTCTGAAAGATGGAGGCAATTTACTACCACTAATAATTAGTATAACAAATAAACTACAATTTAGCCTAATATCTGGGTACTTATTCAATCATGCAATTAATAGATCTACATAAATGAGCATCACATGGTACGCACGTCTATGATATATTTACTCATTTTAGAAGTCAAGTACTGAACTGTACTCATTTTTTGGAGAATTGAAGAGGATATATCGAACATGTTTAATCTTGATAGGTCCATCGATCGGGCTGATAGCCTTCGCGAGATGTTCCGCCTAAAAGTTAGATAAAACCAATGGAAAATTTTATATTTATTTAATACTAAAATGAAGGTAATACAGTGACATAACCTTAGAGAAATATAACTGCAATTAGATAAATGCAAAAAGTAAAAGCTAAAAACACCGATTATTATTAGTTCGGAGGTAAATTTTAATTTAGTGAATTGTGTGTCATGTATTTCTACACCTATAACTACAGTACTATCACGATGAAATAACCATTTTATTAGTTTAATACTGCAAATTTAATTTATCGCCAGATTACATCAATATTGAAACTCTGTCTTTCACCCTAGCTTTACTCTTAACAATGATTTAGTCATGGCTAAATATTGTTGATTAGCTATTAAAATTTTTTTGATGTATACGTGTGTATTATACACGAACATAATATGATTACTTAGAAATTAAGATGTTGGAATTTATTACCGCTATAAAAATTGAAAGGAGTGATGTTGTAGAGACCGTTAGTGAAGATCGCATATACACAACGTAATTGATACGTAATTATATCCGTTTTAGCTGAACCTTTTCGAAGTTTGTTTTAACGGTATGTTCCTATAATTGCTATCCACCATTGGAATTTTTAATAGCAAGACATAGTATGTAATTATGCACATCGTATATGATTCTATTGTTGAATTATACACTGTAGTTACCATTAGTTAAAATTTATGTGGGTTTGCAAGTTCATGTCAATAAAAATATGCATGATTTGATATTAGAGCCATAATACGTCGACATAATTCAAGTTATAACCCTTGTCACATTAATACCACATAGCCAATCATTTAAACTTTACATGTTATCTGATAATTTAATCCATTATAGAGGATGTCGCATTAAAAAATGTAAAGGTCAGCGTCATTTGCTATTAAATAAGATTAAGAAACTGTTTAAACGATAATCAATGAGGCATGCTGGTGCAAGCTATCCTAGCCATTATCACTGTTTTCATGCATCCAAAACTTCTAATGACAATTAGGATGGCTTAGGGACAATTCAGAAAGATCTTATCCTTAGTACGATAATATATTTTTGTAGATTTACAACGGATAATATACGCGTAATCACCAGATTGCAAAACTGCTTAATTAATTATATTATGAAGGGATGATGATCGATATCATTTCATACCTATCCACCTTAGCAGTGATAATTAATCAAGATGTTTTATGAATAATATAGAAATAGAACTAATCTTGCTTAGGCTACTATTTAACGCCTATTTACCAATCACCTTTAAATACATGAAATGCAAAATAGCTCTAGTAGAATCAATTCTAATTATCAATACTATTAGAAGTAGTACATTACATATAAAACTTCAAATATTGATAATTATAATTAACCAATCTGGCCTTCTAATCAACGTATAGAATTAATCCTCATGGGAGTGCTTTAGAGATTTACTAGTGATGATTAAATATACTGGAGAAATTACTACTGTATATCATCATTAAAAAGTGATGATGCATATCATTAAATTCAAGTAAAATATAAAATCGCAGGATGGGGCTCAAAAAGAATAAAAGATTCCATTTATAAGACCTGTTCAGAACAATAATGCAAATCCACCCCCACTTTGAATTCTCGTCCTTAATGTATGAGTAAAGTGAATATTTGATTCGGATCTGTCAATATAAGGCGATTTTCGTCGGTAACCACATATTTTCTTTGATTGATTCCATCCAAAATGAACAGTAGTCACACGAGAACAATTTATAGAAAAGTATCTTACTAATTAAGAAAATATTCAAATAGTAGTTATCATGATACGTGAATGCTCTCAGTAACATGTAATAATAATAAATAACAAATAGTCTAATCATTCGTATATCTTTGCCCTACAAAGGTTACATTAGAGTAGATTAAAACGATCACTACAACATTTTAGGATAAGAATAAAACTTTCTTGCATCTATATCATGCTATGTATGATACAATCGATACCAATCAAGAGAATCTATTTTTATAAGTGCATTCAATATTTACTCAAATAATTTTTAAAACTGTTTCGATAGAATTGACAAATAACATCGATTTTTATTGATGCAAAATGATAAAGTTAACTGCATTCATAAAGTATTGGCAATCAATCAAAAACAAGCTAACGTCTAAAAGGCGTATAACGAAACTACTGTGCATTGCCACCGGGCAATATGGTCAAGTATTGGAAATACTGTGGGAGATAAATTTTTTAGTAAGGCAAGCGAGTTTAATTTTTCCTCTCGATTCCTGAAGACTCGGCCCGATACTATCGTATTACAATTCATCCGATTTTCGTATTTGATTTCAATTTAATTCGAAGTCAAATTTAATCATGTACAGAAGGCGGCTTCTACGTCAATGTAGGATCACAGGGAAAATAGGAAAGGAAAAGAATATTATGCAAGATGTATTTGTAGTTGTACACTCATGTATATCGTACAGCACCGCATACGCGTATAATGAACTGCTAGCCTACGGTAGCAATGAAAGGCAGTATCCCTTTTACGTTTTACGATAAATCATCCTTGTGTCTTGAGTAAACGAGATTTTACAGTGAAAGCAGAATGTGTTTGTTGCAAAATATCAAGACCATACCATAAAGAAATTGTCATTTGTTACTAGGTTAGACTTCACCGTCATGAATATCGCAATAAAATGTCTCCAGTGTAATTCTTATAAATTAGTATCATTATTTTTCTTAAATCTGCACTATACGAGTACGTACGACTATCGCTAGCAGTGTCTATGTAAGATATTCATGTCCCTGTTTATTTTTTTCTTTCCATCAAGGTTATGATACGTATACGGAGAATTGCTTTACATAATTTCTACAATTGTGTCAGTCTATCTCTGCAGTCAATCTATAAAAGAAATCATGTTGAATGCTGTATCTGTCTAACTTCCATTTCAACTTTCATGGTTTATTGAAAAGTTAGAACCTAGCTCGTGGCTTAATGTTGTTACAGTACGTACAGCATGCGTTAACCTTGTTGAAGACGAAAGATGCAATGTCAAGTACAGAATGAATTTTTCGACTTAATTACGACAGTAGCACTTAAATAATAGTAGGTGAATGTTAATTATGGATTAAGGAATCAGTTGGATTTCATTGCAGTACAATAACAAAATAAAATAGTTGTATTTTTATTTTGCCAAGCGATCACTAACAGGCAATATTCTACTTTTGTTGCATTAGGTGTACTATAGTAGCAATGGCAAGAAGGTAGAGAGAGAGTTTTTTGCATTCAATGCTAGTGGAATTAAAGTACACTAGTGCTACGCGTATTTACATGTTCACGGTCGAATCTTTCAGCACTATCGTAGCCAATACCCAGGCTTTCGGATAATCTTCTGGTTAAAGATGACATAACTACCAAAGAGAAACTTTTGAAATGAACTTGATGTTTTAGTCGAAGAAGGAGAGCAATGGCCAACTTTGCAATACACACGTACAGAGTCGATTTTATTCCTACGTCAATAAGATTGATGGCCGAAAAGAATGTCGTACATTGGTTAAGTACGAAGGGTAGGAGAAAAAAGACTTGAGGTCAATGTGCGTGCAGTCGTGACTCACTAGTCTGTCCACTGTACTGTACACTGTACACTGTACAGAAACAATGGAAACTCAGGAATGCTTGATGTTTGCACAATAACCATCAAGAAGAGCAGCTGGGTTACACCAAAGGTGTCAGGCGCTACGAGTACGTACCGTACTGGGGTCATACCGCCAATGGGTGCAATGCAATGCGCTTGCACAATTCTGAATAATTTGTTGGACGTGATGGCTGCTGCACTCCATCCTGAACTAACCTGTGAGCGCATGTTGACTGTCAACAAATAAGAGGCTAGCATTACTGCTATATTAATTCAGTATACCATTTACTGTAATTAGTGAATTCATTAATGACTAGCTTACGGTGCTTTCAAAACGGTTGTAAGAGTATTGCACTTTAACGCACTGCTTCTATCACCGTGATGGTACTGACCACGGTAAACCTTTAATATGCAGTTGAAGAAGAATCTTTTACCCACTGGATGATTACTGCTATATTAATTCATCATACCATCTACTGTAATTAGTGAATTCATTAATGACTAGCTTACGGTGCTTTCAAAACGGTTGTAAGAGTATTGCACTTTAACGCACTGCTTCTATCACCGTGATGGTACTGACCACGGTAAGCCTTTAATATGCAGTTGAAGAAGAATCTTTTACCCACTGGATGAAGTAAATACTCGACATCTGATAATTAATTCGTAATACAATCCATATCAGATAGCCTATGGAATAGACCATGACTACGCTGGCTTAACACCACTGGGCCCCCCCCCCCCCGTCAAGAACATATTTGCTCCCTTAAATTCTT